TGCCTGTCTTTCCCTTTCATCCCCGTGATGTGTTTCATTCCCGCCCACACATCCCTCACACTGTTCTGTTGGAGTTTGTTATTTTTTATTATTTATTATATTTGTTATTGGTTGGTTGTGCTGGGCCAATCTCAAGGCCAGGGTCCAGCAGGATGTTTTCCCACCTTCCCCACCTTGTGTTTGTGACTTTAGTACTTTCAATGGTTTCTTTCCGTAGGTACCGATGTACTTTGCTTTGGGTGATAACCTTGATCCATGGCCTTGGGCCAGTTCTTTGATGGTACCCCAGTATTTAGCCAGGACTGCTAGTTCTTTCTCCTCCTGCGGGAATTTCTTCTCTACTGAGGATAGCGTATAACTCCACAAGGTTACCATTCCCCCTCCTTCGTTGTTCACCTTTACCACTGCATTGTCATCTTCACAACTTACTTCAGCTACTAGCCTGGTGGTAAGGCTCCTTGGCTCCAGTCTGACGGCTTCTTGAATTGCCGTCTTTAGTTTTTCCAGATTCTCCTGATCCGTGGCTGTCCAAATCCACCTTTTGGAAGGCTTTGTATCTGGTTCGTCTTTTTCCTTTTTCAGACAGGCATACAGGGGTTTGGCGTACTCTGTAAGTCCCAGTAATTTCTTCAGGTCCTTTTCTGATGTTGGTGGACTTTTCCACCACCTTCTGTAGCTTCTCTAGGTGTTGTTCTTCGGTATCGTCGGCAATGAACACAACGTCGATGTAGATGGTCACCCCTAGGTCCACTAGGACGTCCATTACCGCCACTTGGAAGACATTTGATGAGTTTTTATACCCCTGTGGCAGGCGTTGCCATACATAGGCTTTGCCTTTGTGTGTGAATGCTGTCTTTTCATATGACTACTTGGCCAACTTCAAGGAAAAGAATCTGTTTGCCAAGTCAATGCATGATTTGTATTTCTTGACTTGGAGCGTCTTCAGTGCAACTTGTGGATTAATCAGGCTGGCTCTGTTGGCTACTGTTTGTCGATTGAGGGCCTTAAAGTTGATCAGACCAGTCTACCTCGCCTACTGTTTCCCACAATGCAACACGGCGGAACAATCACCACAACAGGAATTTTTTTGCACATTTTGTTGCTATTTCACCACTAAATACACTTACACAAGAAATTAATCATGCAGATTTGGAATATTGGCAGCTTTAAGAAAATTTATGGTGAATCGAAAACGTGCTCCCATGCTGGAGTTGATTGTGGCCTGCTGATTCTGGTTTCTTCACCGCTTGAATCGGGTGATTGGGTTAGGTTCTTCTCTAATGATTCCCAGTGCGCTAAGCTCTTTTATGATTTTGTCCATTTCTTGTACTGCTTCTGGATTCAGTGGGTATGGTCGCACTGGTGGGTGTACTCCTCCTTCGATGGTGTGGACATACTTGGATCCTAGGTCTCCACAATCATTTTTGAACTGGGCTATAGTTGCTTCAGAAATGATCTGCCTGTAACCTGTAGACAAAAATAGCTCATTTTAAAGGTAACAAAAACACAGTGATGATGCACTAATGAAACCTCCAACTTGCTAATATGTGAAAATCTCTATCTAGAGCCAGCGTTTGATTTGTCCCTTCTGGGCTAGAAAAATGTTGATTCAACATGGTGGACTCCGCCTCTGTAGATAAAAATGTCTTATTCTAAGGTTACAGAAACACACTCTTATTTTCAGGTGATTATACACTAATGGGACATAGCTATTAATATTGTATTCCATTCCTGCCAATAGATCATCCTAAACTTTGTGTCTGAGGGACTTGTTTAAGGCACATTTGACCTTATTTACCACCCAAAGCTGTGATGAACAGTATTTTCTGGCAATATTTTCTTTATTTTTATGTATATCACTGAACGCATCACAAGCTTTTTTTATACTTCAGTTGAAACAAAATTTTCCAGCTTTTCAGTAAAAAGTAGCGATGACAAAATTATGCATAAAGACTAAAAATGTAATACAAAAAAACACACATATCAAGTTACAACTGTTAAATATAAAAGTGTTTGAAGATATATGTTCAGATCTTGTATGTTGAATGTAATATAAGATAGTAACTTTCTATGAATTTTATGAATGCAACATTTAGCTGAAATAATGAACAAATTAATTATGCTCATTGCCTCGATAATGTAAAAAAAAGATGAATAATAATTACAAATTATGTTCTTTAAGTAAAATTTCTCAAAATGAGTAAACACTTACATTCAGCAGCTTGAAATATCCCATTTACTTTTACTTTAACAACAAAACTGTATTTTAATCATCATAAATCTGAATTTTGGGGAGAAAGGACACAATAACAGTTTTGTGGGGAGTAGCAGAAAAGTTATACAACTAGTAGTGTAACTAATTACTGTTAGCAGGGAGTAATAAGTCAAGTAATAATATTACTTTTAAAAAGATTAGTGTGTAATATATTACATTTTTTGAGTAAGTAGCCTAAGACTGAAAATATTTGCAAATCACTAACTTTATGGGATAATATCTATGTATGATTTTAGTATAGTTCTGTGAACGCATCACGAGCTGCGACATTTATATGTCTATGTGCGGGGCAACAGCCAAAACAAAACGTCACCTCCGTGAAAGCCACGTAGCCAATCAGATTAAACTGTACGTAGCGTACGTGCGTACGTACATCTGGGGTACGTGCCAGGTTGCATGGTACGTGCAGTGTCCCCAGTGTTCTCCTGTGTTGTCGTTTATTCTTAACCTGCCCATGTGTGTTACCTCGCGTTTAAACACCTTTCGGACCTGAGGAGAGGGTCACTGCGGGTCACTGCGGGTTGTAGAGAGAGCAACCCCCAGTCGGAACATGTGAAATACAGTGAGCACTCGCTTACAACCTGTGCTAGCTGCTTTTAGCTTTTTAAGCTCGGCTGGTAACGTGTTGTGTTTAACCTTACCAAATACGGGTATTAGAATAACTAGCCGTTAGTTTAGTAGCGAGCTAAGTTGGCTAACGTTAACTGTTGCTGCAGTTTAGTAAGTTCCCTGGGACACTTATAAAGTAACACCACTAAGTTATAAGCGGTTCACCTAACAGCTAGGGAAGAGCTCGAACCTGGTGACCTTCTCTGACAGCTGGGTGTGTGGGTTGTGAATGGACAGTAGCTACAGCTGGCCAGAGGACAGACATATGGACCAGTATGACAGCTACGTAACCGCAGCACCGAGCCTCGTTCAGCGCTGGTAACGGGACATGTGAGTAGAGTTTATGGTTGTGTGTTCGCTTGTAAGAATGACTCGCCGCTCGGTGGTTAACTTTGTGAGCTTTGGGAATCGAGCTGTCAGCCTGCTGTACGGTAACCCCCTTCGCCCGCTCCACACTTCAACATGCAACCCCTCCTCGCAGCCGAAAGCTGGCTTTAAACCGGAGAAAGTGGCGGTGGTCACAAAGACCACACGGTATGAGTTTGAACAGCAGAGGTATCGCTATGCGGGGCTCTCTGAAGAGGACTTGAAACAGCTGGTAAGTAAGGAGGGCCTTCCTCTTCCAGGCATGCCTGTGACCTCTGACATTTTACCTTTCATTTTTGTTGCTGTGTCTTGTATTTTGCAGCTTGCTATGAAGGGCTCCAGCTACAGCGGCCTGCTGGAAAGACACAACATCCACACCAACAATGTGGAACATATTGTGAAGAGCCTGCGGTAAGTTGTGGCCCAGCCGCAGGGACATTACCACTGCCACATTCCTGAGAACCAGACGGGGAAGGTTTTGCACCCGGGATGCTGTTTGTAAAGAGAACTTTTATGTTTCTGTGTTTGCAGGAGAGAGGGCATCGATGTGCGAGTGGTGAAGAGGGGAGAGTACGATGAAGAAGTGGTGCGATGGGCGGACACCATCATCTCTGCTGGAGGTAGGGGTTTTAGATGATTTAGTTGAGCTGTTTTGTTGTTTTTTCACTCCAGCCTCTGTGTCAAACATTTGCTGGTTCCAGCTTCTGAAATGTGATTCTTTGGGTTTTTAACTGTTAACAAAATAAGGAATTTGAAGACGTCACTTTGTGCTCTGGGAGATTGTTTTTCTTTATTTCTTTATTTTTTTTTCTTTTTACATTTTATTGACTCAACGATTAATTGAAAATGAAGAGAATCATCATCATAGTTGCAGCCCTGCTCGAACCCCTGTGACACTGATTAATTACAAATACAGTATATAGGTCGTATCTCTACTATCTGTTTGACTAAAAGAACTGGATAAAAGAATCTTCCTTGAACGCTGACTTTTGTGTTCAGGCATGATGATGTACAGAATGGGCAGGACTTTAACTTATTCAACCCAGGGGGCAAAAAGTCACATGAACAAAGGCTTCAAACACACAATACAAGTTCTCTAACTGCAGTTTGTTTTGTTAGGTGATGGGACAATGCTACTTGTTGCCAGTAAGGTTTTAAGCAAGGACAAACCAGTTGTTGGAGTAAACACGGACCCTGAGAGGTAAATCACTGAACAGCACTTTTGGGGAAGGGCTTGGATACATGTGTGGAGAATAGTTAGAAAAGAAAAGGAAAAAAAAACTCCTCAGGAAGATACTCCATAAGCACTCGAGTCAGCGTAACATATAATGTCAGTACTCCACGTTGTTGCTATCTAACAGTCCTCTTCTATTCAGTTCATTACATTTCTCTCTGTCAAATAAAGGTCAGAAGGCCATCTGTGCCTGCCTGTGCGGTACACTCGTGCCTTCCCAGAGGCACTGGAGAAACTCTGTCGTGGTGAGTTCAGGTGCGTATTTACCCAACCTGAGTGTTGTTGTGCTGGGCTTCCTTCTGATAAACATCCTGTCCCCCTGTGTGTGCTCTGTTACTTAACTTCTATAATCTTTTTCCAGTGAGAGTGAGAGCCTCCGTCTCAAGGCCGTATTACTTAGCACACTGCAGCCTCTCCCCTCTTCTCTCTGTCGGGGCCGAGCCCAGTGAAATTCCATGATTCTTAATACCCAATTTGATACCACGTTATACGATAAAAACAAAAGAATTAATTAATCTCCACATGCACTCCTTGTATTTAGTACTCCTTGTATATACTCAAACTCTCAACATGTCATCATACAAATAAGTAATTCATTTATTTTTGACGTTAATCAATTTTTATTTTGTTTTGAAAAGTATCATACAGGTAACTATATCTAAATTCATTCTACAACCCTGTGTTGTAAATGACAATAAAATAACCTTGAATCCTTATTAAAAACATTATGAAATATAACAGTGGCCTCTTTTGTAATAAATTGTTTTCTTATTTACTTAATTCACTATTTAACTTACAAACTATTTTAATCTGCTCACCTTGTTTTTCCTTTCAGTACTCTTTTCTACACACACACACACACACACACACACACCTATTCTGGTCTGTGTCTCTCACACAGAGCAGTGTGACTGTCACTACAGGAGGGTTAGAGCGAGGGGAGATTGTCCACTCACTGATCGATGGTGGATACTTTTGCTGGTTGTGAGGGATGTTTTGCCACAATGTTAGAGGGAAGCGTAAACATTTTCAGTTCATTATGGAACTGTGACGGCTGCCACAGTCTGTAATTCATGGCAGCTCGTAGTATCGGTTCTCGTGACTCTACATTGGTTGCACGTTGGTGCAAACCTTCTCGAGTAAAAAGCCGGCGCCTGTTTAACCAGCATTAACATGTAACACAAGCAACATCTGCCCTGTCCACGCTAGCTCGGCTAAAAGTCAGTTGTTTTAAGCTAAAAGTTCAGTTAGTCACATATCTTAAAGTTTGGTAAATCCTTATTTTAAACTGAGCTGCTGGCTGAGACGGACCAGCCTGATCTTGCTAAACGTTACCTGCAGGATAACAGAATGAATGATGATACTAATACTCTAAACTTCACTCAGTATTATTATATCAGGATTATTATTTCTTTTATTGACATTTCAGATATTTTTGAGGTAAAGATTAGAGTTGCTGCTCTAGAAACAACATCTAGTTTTATTTAAAATATCTAATCTATTGTATTCTAATTCTGCTCTCAATTTAAAGACAACCAGCCTGATTGATAGAACTGTATAGCTAATGTGCGCACTTCAATATTTGTCCATTCTTAAGAATGTATTGGATTAATGAAGTTACGGTTAATTGTATAAAGTTGCAGTTTTCAGTCTGTGTTTAAATGTGTTTTTGACAAAAATGCGTGTTGATCATGCTGTAACTACAAAACCAAACCAACATAGAACCAATACTGATTTACCTTCATAACCTTTTTTCCTGTATGGACTTAAAATAGGTCTTAAAGTGTTAGTCTTAAATGTAACCTGTAGAAACCTGCCTATAAACCTTTCTTGTAAACTACTACCAGAAATATATGATAGTAATGTTGCTGTCTGTAAGTTGGTGGAACACTCGGTGGCCATTGCTGTGCCAGTAGCTCAGAGTTCAAGACAAGTTTAAACCTGTGTTGTCTGGAAAAAGTCACATGGTGTCTAAAACCCCACTGTTGTCTCCTCAGACTAGCCTAAATAGCCCAGATCCAGTTACCGTGCCTTAAAGAAATCACTGCTATATCTTTATTGGAGATTGATCCAAACCTGCTGCTCAGGTTGTTCATTGAGGTACAAGTTCAAACTCCCCAGTAAGAATCCATGCAGGGATTTTCAGTTTAGGTTAATACCTGGATACATTTGTGAGGAATAGCATTTGAACTAACTAATCAAGTTTTTAACCTCATTTATGTTGCTGTTTCTAAAAATGAATACATTTCATTATGTATGCAGTTAGAAGAACAACTCTCACATAGGTGTGGATCAAAGATGATATTGTGGCACTGATGCATACAAGTCAGTGGTTACCAACCTTTTTCCTTTAGGGAATCTTTTCTATCATTGAGCAAACTGACTGACATATTTTATGGATATTTCATATTATATTCAATAATAACAATAACAGCAGAGAACAACTGTACAATGAACCCAAACAGTGAACTCAGTAACTGCAGGAAGTCTGTGTAAAACTAGAGATTTGGATTAATTTTGAGCAGTTTATTTTCCTAGCATATTGCGTCAGAGATGTCAGAGTTTTTTGTGTTTTTTTTTTATATCATTATCTGATGTATTGTGTATGTTTGGATTTTTAACAATCATATATACTTTTTTGATAAATTCACTGTTTTCTTCTCATTGTACTACTAACTCTTTGGTTGTTTCAACTTTTTCTAATGTAATATGAGGCTGTTTATCAGAGAGTGAAGGCTCTTTGAATTTACCTTGTGTTCAGGTCTTCAAAGTTTACATCCTAAATAATAATCTAATCTCTACACTAAAGTTTTGAGAAGTTACAACATTGAAATGGCACAGATTTGGTGGAATGGCCCTAAATCTTTTTTAAATAGAACTAAAAAATATATTATTTCATTTTTTAAGAGGGCTCGGTCATTTGCTAAATCAGCGAGTGGCCAAATTTTTTAGCAAAACTGGCTCAGGCATGCTGGGACAGAAGTCTGTAAAGCCTTCATAGTCTATTTGTTGTGCGGCAAAGACACAAGTAGGCACAAAGTAGGCACAAATAGGCACAAAATATTTTAATATTATGGGCGCCCAGATAGCTCAGTGGGTAGAGCTGGCAACCCATGTACCGAGGCTAAAGTAGAGTCCTTTCTGCAGCGGCCCAGGGTTCGAATCCGACCTGCAGCCCTTTGCTGCGTGTCATCCCCTCTGTCTGTCTTCAGCTGTCACTGTCATAAAGGCAATAAAAGCCCCAAAAATATACTTAAAAAAAACAAATTAAACTAAAAAGAGGTTTAAAGCAGGTTTTTAAAAAACAAAAGAAAAGCAAGGCAGGTCTGACATTTCTCAGTTTCTGACAGTAAAATAACGTCTTTGTTTTTAAATAATAAGCGCAGGGCCCCTCTACAATCCAGGGTGACAAGGATCCACTTAAACTTAAACTTAAACAATTTTAGTGAATCATTCTCCAATCAGTAAATGTGTTTAAATCGGCAACGTTTAATGTTCCATGTGGCAGATATCAGTCTGCATTTATCTGTTACAGTATCTGTTTTCAACCGCAGTTTTCTACTCTATGAAAAGCTTCGCCTTCAGTTCATGAAATCCCTGCAGCGATCTGAAATTAGCGGGACACATGTTGCTAAATCTGCAGCTTCTCCACTGTGTTCACCTTCATTAGATCACATGCAAACAACACCATGGCTGCTGCACAATAATCCCATACAATTCTACACACTTAAGACTGGTCTGTTAATACTCCATACACAGCTCATCGGTCCTGGGGTTACAGCCCCCTTTCCAACTTTTTGGATGTGACGTTTCATTTTCAAATCTTGAGATGTATAATGGTGCAATCGTTGTTTTGTTACATAAATTACAATATGGCGTAACTATTTATGATGTGAGATACAGACAAAAATCCCAGTGTCTACCTCTGGCTGCAGATGTGTTGCTGTGTGTTTACGTCGCACATTGCAACACCATCCAGAGAACAATATGATTTCCTGAATAAGCAACTTACATTTGCTGAGCTGTTGTTGTCATGCTTCCCTGTGACTGGCTCAGCTGTTTCGGAACAATGAGACCAGCAATTTGACTGGCTGAGAGTGTATTCAATAATCACTACACTCTGATCTGTATTCCACTTCACTCTGACCTAGGCTACTTGTTGGTAATGGTAAATGGTAAATGAACCTTTACTTGTATAGCGCCTTTCT